CCTCAATTCCATGAAACTGGGGTGACCACAGAGTGGCACAACAAACAATAATGTAAGTGTTAGAAGGTTTAAAATATTTAAAAAGACATGCATCCTAAATAATAGTGTCAGCAGAAAGCAGTTTGTTTGGTATCTGTTACAGCCTGAGGATTGTGAATTATCCCCCACCATTCTTGCAACAGTCTTCAAATCTATTTTCCAGATGGGGAAACTGAGACCCCACTGGCCTGAGGTCACAAAGACGGCAGGGATGGAGCCGGCTGGCTTCACTCCACTTTCTATGCTGCAAATTCGGAGGACAGTGTGCGGCATCCTTGCTGCCTGACACGGCTCAGCAGGAGCTGACACTGCGGCTCCCACTCCTTGCAACCCTGATCAGCACAACCTGCGAAATACCTGCTGAGAAGCAGCAATTCAAATTGGCCACTTCCTTGAGATACTGAATTCCTTTCTCATTATAGTGCTTTAATCGAGGGACTGGCATTCCTTCATAAAAGGGATTTCATGCTTCGTTTTTTCGTGTTCTGTCTCTGGAGGCCAGAAGGAGTAAGTACAAACAACCTCTCCTCTGGAGCCCCACCCGGCTCAGACATCCCTCTCCCCTCAGCCCACCCTCCCCTGCCCATCCCAACACAGAGAACCGACATCCAACAGCTGCTCTAATCTCTCCCAGTTGCTGCGAGCAACAGGGACCGCCCTGTGACAGGGCCCTGGCCTGGTAGCCTTCCTTTCCTGCACCCCAGGAATCTGCACACCGTAGCCCAATGCCCTGCTCCAACTGTCTGACAAAACCAGCGTGGCGTTCAGCATGGGGCAGGGTCTGAGGGACTTCACAAGGGCCGGGCTAGTCCCCACTCTGGCCCTTGGGTGGGGTGGGGCACAGGGCAGTCCTGACCAAGGCGCCTCTACCGGCCGGGGAGAAGAGCCCCCAGCAGTGTTTTAAATGTTTCCACCTGGCCAAGCCTCAGATCCCTAGACTCTTAAATGAAAGATGCTGACACATATATATTTCGTTATATTGTCTCCCTATTTTTAGGATGCCATTCAACAAAGGTGGGACCAATGCCATGTGGATGAGTCCTAGGATCTCTCTGCAGGTGGTGGGTGTGCAGTGAAGGGAGGTGAACACTCCTTGGAACAGCTGATAATTCAGAAGAAAGAAGCTTCCAGGATCTCCCTCTGGTGGCCACACTGCCAAGATGCATGGCAGAGGGGCAGCCCTCAGCCTGCCCTCCCAGCTGCAGCAATGCTTACCCTTCCAACTCCAGGAGCCAGGGCTGCTGGCCGTACCAATTCCTGATACAGACTTGAGGGCACCGCCTTGATCTTTAAAATCACTTCAGAGATGACCAAGAGCAATAATGTGACCAGATGCAGGAGGCCCTTGACCAGGGGGAAACACAGTCAAGCGCCACAACCTCTGCTGTAAAATCTGAAAGAGAAGCTTTGCACGGACCAGACCCCTCTGCCTGGACAATGGGCAAAGCATGCCCTTCTTGACCCTGAATCTACCCCTCACTTTGTTTTATAACCAACCACCCACGTGCTAGCTCTCTGCTGAGCCTGTAGTCCATCTCTCAAACACTACTGTTGTCCTCATTGCTTGTTGGACATACTTTGGCTGAAATAATGTTAACATTGCTATTACGAGATCTCCTTTAATCGGAGAGACATCTAAGATTATACAATAACTTTGGCCAAGTTTCAGCCTCAGCAGCAGCTGCGTTGACACAGTGACTATCCAGCCACCGCCCCATGCGGCCCAGAGACAAGGCATTCACTCACAAGACGGCCTCTGTGCCCTCCCATCATAGGTGGCTTGTCTGAAACCTGCCGTGCGGGCTGTTAAGCACTTGAAATGTGGCTGGCCCGCATCGAGGTGGGCTGGGATCGCACCACGCACACTGGATTTCGAAGAGTCGGTATATGAAAGCGAGAGTGTAAACCACATCAATAATAATTTTTATTTAATAAGTATAAAAATTGACATTGTATTTTGACTATATTAGTGTAATCAATAAAGCATTATTCATTTTGTCTGTTTCTTTTTACTTTTTAAAACACGGCTACTAGAAAATTTCAAATGACACTCATAGCTTGGATTCTACTTCTACTGGCCAGTGCTGAGCTGGACCCTCCTCCTAGCTGACTTCACCCACAACAGGTACAGCCACCACTCTCTATTCTAATAGCCAGCAAGGTGTCCTGTGCCCAGGGAAACCTTCACACAGAGGCATCCTCTGTGCACCCACCTGCTCTCTGAACACTCAGTCTGTCGCCTCAGCTTCAAGGCACCAGCTGTCTATAAACCCGACACTGCCCTGCTCCCCTGCCTTCTTCCTTCGTCTCGGGAGCTGTGTGGAGGGGGATGATTTACTGTTGGTCGTGCCAGGGTGCAACCATACCCAGCCCTAAGCGCTAGCATCTCTACAAACAGCTCTGCCTTCCTTTTGTTCTACACCAACACTTCGTTCACTGGAAACACAGCGGAATGAGGGGAAATGGACTTGGTGTTTACAGGAGTTTGGATTTCCAACACTTTTTATTAAGGAACAATGGGCACCGTGCCAGCTCTGGTGGGCAGGGAAGGGGGACGAGGGCAGGAGGGAGAAGGCAACAGCTGTTTTGAGTTACGAACTTTCTGTCTGAGCTGGTAGCATCCCACTGCGGTTCTGCTGCCCTTGGGGTTTCGAAGGGAGCTGGTGCCTATTTTAGTTCTGGGTTAACAAGCACTCTCTCCCACCAGCTACTGTCCCAGTTCACAGCCTGGCCAGGCCCCACTGGCTCGGGCAGCCCGGGCCTCCTCCGATAGCAGGCTATTATGGGGAACGGCAGAGCAGAGGGAGAAAAGGGAAATTAACTATGTTCTGTAATCAGCTCTTCGCGGTTTCCAGATGGCAGCCCCGCCCCGCCTAGCAGCATCACAGACAGAGCCACTAGGCAGGGGTGGCCTGTCCACCTCCACGTGGGATGCCGGGACCTCTTTCCATCAGCCGCTGCGGGGCCAGTGGGATGCGAGGCTGCCTGGAGCGGCTGAGTCTCCAACAAGCTACAAAACCTCCTCAGCCACGCTCTTACCAAACACAGGGTGTTAGTGCTGAAAAGGCGAGGAAAACCCTCCACTGCCAGCTGCATAGCCCGTCTGCGCCACCAGCCTTGACGTCCAAGTGGGTGACTGCCCACCGAGGGACGCCCCTCCCGACCGGGAATGAACGAGCAGCATCCAGCGCAATTCCACCCGTCCTCGCTGGGGGGAGCCCGGCCCCTCCTGGAGCAGGTCCTCGTCCAGAAGGCCAGTCCCAGGGACAGGACGGCTGTCGGGTGGGGACGCCGAGGGGCAGCTGGGGTCCCACAAGGGCCCCCCTCTGCCCGTGACTCTCCACGAGGCTTGCTGGAAGCCCCGGCTCTGTGCGCTCAGGCCCCGGCTCTGCAGAACGTTCAGGATCCCCGAGCAGCACAAGCCGCACCCCGGGGATGGACGGGCGCAATGAACCGCGACGCTGTCGGAGCCGCAGGGCCTACAAAGGGACGAGCCAGATGCCTGCTCTTGGTAGACAGAAGAAACAACCGCTAAGAGACTGGTTTTAGGAACAAAGGACACGAAGGATGAGGAGGCCGAGATGCAGGGTGGCTGGCTGAAGCCGTGCGTGAGCAGAGCGAGGACGAGGCGTGGGGCCTGCTAAGCAGCCCGAGCCCGCGCCCACCACGGGGCAGAGTCCTGAGCCCGGGCACTTCCGTGAGACATTTCACAGCATTTCAGTTGCTCAGCAGTTTAAATTCTTCACAAATTCTTTCCCCCCACCAACACAAAGATGTCAAGCTAATGTGATTAAGGATCATGATATTTGACCTGGCTTCGAATTACCATATAATCTGGCTTTTCCCCACAACACAGAAGCTTTTAGCTTGCTCAGACCCTCTTACTCCAAAGTCACAGCTGAACACGTGTCCTCAGGAAGGAAATCCTGTTCATATATCAGGGATTCACGCAAACAGATACCCCAATCCCCACATTCCCGAGCTGTCTTCTAAGACCCAAAGCTGCAACCACGTGTGGGCCCACCCTCTGCTCTTGAATGAACCCACGGCTGTGTGTGACGTCCAGGGTGGGTGACTTTCGGGACTCTCAGATACAGCAGGGGCTCCTACGCAGCTCTTCATTCTTTTCAGTGCCTAAAATCTACGGTAGTCTAACATTTCTAAGTGGTAATTCTGTAGGAAAAATTTCTAAATCTGACTGTTTGTCTATCTAGTGTTCATCAAGAACACTTGCCTGCTGGGTTGTCAGGGAAGGTAGGGAGGGAGGCTCCCCTGAATTCTGCCAGAAAGTCCTGTTACCACCCACGTGTTCTGCCTGGCCTGCGGAGGATCAGAAACACGGGCTAGGGACCCACACTCGGGGACGGAACAGCAGAACAGTCATCTGTTGCTACTTTATTGAAACATAACGGGCTTCACTTTTGGTCGAGTACCTTACACTAAGTAGAACTTTCTCTTGCCCCGAAATACTTTCTTAGGTTTCTACGATTCTGGTCCCACTCAGTCTGAACTTCAAAAAAAAACCATCCAAAGTCCCCAGTGTGTGCTAGGATTGTGCCAGGTGTGTGCAACACATGGGCCGTCCCTGTCCCGAGCACATGCTCACGTACAGCTAGCAATCATGTGGGTTGCAACACTCTGTGCAAAGAAAATGCACCTGTTGTCCAAAAGCTCCCATCATAGGAGACTGTCCACTGCGCAGGGGGCTCACTGGGGACTGCTCAAGGGGCCTCGCCAGGGACACAGGAGGCAGAGTGAACCCCATGAACACACCCCAGCTGCGGCCATGCTCTGACAGCTCAGCCCGGCTTCTTCCCCACAGCGACACCCCACTTAACTGCCTTAGCAGTGTCGTCATACACAAGTTCAATCAGGGGCTCAGGGTGGAATAACGAGAAATAAGAAAAAGTTAAATCCCAGCAAAAACGGGCGAGAAAAAGCCAGCTCGCCCCTTCTCCTACCTTAGAGGGTTATCAGAATGGGTCTCTATGTGGGTCTCCAGTCCATACTTGCAAACAAACTCCTTGAAACATATTGGGCAGTGAAAGACTTCATCAGCCTTCTTCTCCAAGTCACCTGACTGCCCAACTTCCACCATCTTAGGGAAAAGGAGAAAATGAAGTCATGAAGGAGGTCTCCCACATGGCTTGGCTTCAGAAGAGAGGCCAACACTAGATAGAGACTTCTACAGAAAGGAAAGGGTTGCGTTCCCCACCCCTGGGTATTAAGGATATGACTGGCCATTCATTCATTCACACAATGAATACTCACGGGACACTATCATCAATCCACCAACCCACCACCCATCCATCCCTCCATCCACTCGACATGTTCTCATGGAACACCTGATGTCTGCCAGGCACGGAATCAAAGAGTGAGGAATTAAAAAGTCCTTAATGCTTATGAAGCTTCCATTTTAGCTAGAAAAAAATATGTAAAAGCATGGAAACAATTCTAAAAGCTCTTCGTTTCATCTCTGGGCTCAGTGGAGGAGCTCAAAAGAGGAAGTGCACACAGGTACTACCTTCTTAGATACTCCACAAAAACAGTGTGGGAAAACATAGGTTAAAATCTGCCAAGTCCCCACGCTGGGAACATAAAGACTAGAGGCATCTCTGACAACAGTCCCCTGAGGAGGTACGTCTGTGCTGGGAGCTGAGAGGACCTTTTTAGCTGGCGCTGGGTCTTCTCTCTCTGACTCGGCATCGTGACTCAGTTTCCTTTTGGAGGACAGCCGCCTGCGCTTCAGAGGAGACGGAGGAGCTGCAGCTGTGGCGCTGTTAGGGTCCTTCTCATGGATCTTCATATGTCTGAAAAGAACACACACACACAGAGTGATCTAACAAAACCGTCAGTTCACTTCTTTCTTTTAAATTGCTCGTGTTTGGTACTGGTACTTAAAATATTTTAGTTAAGAGATACAGGGTATAAATTATACAGTAACTTCTTTTTAAAACTTTATAATTTCCTTGAACCTCTCTTAAAGCTCTTTCAAGTGCCATCCCAAAGTGTTGCTCAACGTCTTGCTGTTTGTTGGAAGACGTTCATGAACTTAACTGGCATTGGTGAGATGAAAACAAACTATCTGGTGACCTGTTCTACTTACTCACACAAAAAATACTGTTTTAGGGCACATAATTCTATGGAATAATGAATTCTCAGATATCTAAACTGTGCCACGAGCTCATAAACCGCATGATAACTCTGTATTTGCCCGAGAATTCACCCCCGACCCCTGCCAACTACCCATTGTACATGTCTCTCTCTTTTGCCTTTGGAAGCATTTTGGGGTCAAATCTGGGACGTGCTGACAGAGCAGATGTACACAGTGCTTAAGACCTGAAAGCCTTTCCATGTTGCTCATGGTATTATATAGATGTATAGATCCTGAGAGTAGTTCAGATATGGAATGAGAAAGTTACATGTTGCAACTCAGGACTAGGATACACATACAAAAAGAAAGTCTTACATATCATATGTTTATGTCTGTTCCAAAAAGAGAGTCTTACAGGTGACCCAATTTAAGTGACCTTCCTTTATTAAATTCTAAGACAAACATCCTAAGGTACATAGGAAAAGAATGACATTACAAACAGATAGTCTCAGTTCCCCTATTTTCCAACATAAAAACTGGCTGAGCATGATGACGCATGCCTACAGTGCCAACTACTATGAAGGCTGAAGCAGATGGATCATCTGACCCCGGCAGTTCAAGGTTGCAGTGAGCTATGATGACACCACTGCACTCCAGCCTGGGCGACAGAGTGAGACCCTGTCTCTACAAAAAAAAAAAAAAAAAAAGTTTAGTTTTGTTAATGAGTCATCATCAGCATCAGCATCCTCTGACTGGGGTTAGACCGTGCCAGATCTGGGACTGCAGCCTCTGCTCTTGGTGAACAACTTGTATTACTGAGTTATCTTACTTGAGAAGTTCTCAGGACTGGGGAAAGACAGCAAAGCTTTCATGAACTATCCTGTACAGAGTTCTCCCCCTCTGTTGCCATGTCTGGAGACAGGCTGAGGATGTGAAGGCCAAGGCATAGGGGAAGGCTGGGAGTGACAAGCAGCACCCATGGTTTCAGGTGGCGGAGATGATGCCTTTCCCACAGCAGGCCCAGCGGGGTCACAGAGCCCTTCATCTGTGTGCATGTGCACATGCAACACTGAAACTGCCATGGGCCCTCTCTGGCTGGGTACCACAGATGCACTCTGGAAGGCAGAGGGCACCCATGTTACCCCCTGCCAAAACAGCACCAGCACCAACGCCCACCACCAGCTAGACCTGCTGGAGACGCCGCCTAACCTTCGAAGATGTGGGACTCAGGAGGAGGCTCAGGCCAAACCTCTGCTTTCCTAGAGGGAATCCCAGTGGTGGGGCAGAAACAAGTAGTGGGAGAACATGAAAAGGAATCACAGACAACCCCCATGCTGTACCCATGCAATCCTTGCCTAGACTGGTAGGAAAGCATGCTTTATTATTCGGTTCTCGGCCACCTCAAGGCCTTCAGGGAGTTAATGGAAACAAACAGCTTTGTTCCAACTACGTCCTCCATTCCAAAGTGACCGTGGTTTGAGGAGACCATCACTTACTACTATCAGCGTTTAGAGGGAAAAAAGGCTGGCAAGTTTCTTTTGGCATTTATTGCATGGCACACCTTAATTTTGGAAATGCTAATTTTTCTTCTTTAAAAAGCATCTAAGAATTTAGGAAGTATGATAACATAAGAAATATATTATAAATTAATATTAAACCTGCCTTTCAATAAATTACTCAAAATTAGTTTTAACTAACAAAATTCACACTCTTTTCTACAGCTGATACGATAAGAATATTAGAAATTACGGATGCACAAGTGTAAACAGTTCATGGGCCCATTTCAAGCTGTATCTTTTCAATCATATGATACAATGTTTCTAGAAATACAAAATGATGCTTTATTTATTCTGTTCCCGGAACTTATGAGAGAAGCTGTTTTTACAAAGGAGCGGAAGCCGAGGGCCTGGTGGGAACTTGACACAGGTTGCTGTCTCCACTCTGCAGAGGTGGCAGCTGAGGTGCAGAGAGGCTGAGTGCCCATGGCCTCACGGCCTGAGCCAACCCAAGCGTGCGACTCTGATGTTCACGCTCTTCCCCCACCCCAACCTCCCTCCAAAGACCACGTCAGCCAGTTAACTCTGTTATGGATCCCGGGCTGGAATCTTAGGGCTATGCATAACCTGAACCTGGACATTCCTCTTTGGTGGACTGCGGCCCAAGGTGGAACAACTGGTATCAAACTCTAACCAAATTTGGACATGGGAGATAAGGGGGCAAGGAGCCCTTGGCTCAGGCAAAGAACGTTCCCTACCTCCAGAATCACTCAAGGACTGCAGAGCCTCTGTCCTCGTCTGAAAAACGAAGGCTGCCCTTGAACTGCACTACTCTAGAGGCAGATGGAGGAAAGCAGGTCAGGGCGGCCTAATGGACAGTGGCCCACACCAGTCCTCTGCCCGAGCCCAACAGAGCCTAGCGTCAGAGCACGAGCCCTGCTCCAGCTGCTGGCCACCACACAGGCAGTTCTCAATTTGTCCTCCCAACCATGTGATGACCAACAGCAGCAGGCTCCTCTAAGACCTCAATTCAGCCAACGGTGAATTTCCAGGACTGGAGAGGTGCCGCCAGGTATGACGTTGGATGTGATGTAGTCAGAGATGACCCCACCTGCTCGTATCCCTGGCCTCTGACAGCAGGAGCAGCAACTTCAGCTGCCCATTTCCTCCCAAAAGCTCATGGAAAGTAGACAATGATGGGCCTCTAGTGGCCTCTTCCCCTCAGGGTGTGGCCAGAACAGAAAGCAAGGGTGGCCAGGAAGAGACAGTCCTAGTCTTTAGAAGGCATGGACATGTTTTTCTCTCAGCTTTTATTTCAAGGGCTAATCCAGCTAATTTCCAAGTGTCGATGAATGACAACGAGCCTCCAAGCTGGCTGGGAGCTGTCATCCAGCCCCTGCTCTGCACAGGGAGTCCTTCTCCACAGCACACTGGAGAAGTCACCATTTAGTTCTGCCTGAATACTTCCAGCAACAAGGACTTCTCCATTTTCACCAGCTGTTTCAATTGTTAAAAACCATCTTCCCCGTGTTGAGTCAGAGATTCTGTCCCTGCTTTAAATGTGTATCTGTCCTCGGGGCAGCACAGCACCCGCTGCATTCTCTTCCATGAGGCAGCCCTTCAAACAGCGCAAGAGCATGACTGTGTTTCTCCAACGTTTTCTCTTTCCAAAATTAAACGACTCCAGCCTCCCCGACCCCAGCTCTGTTCCCAGGTCTGTCAAATTACACTGGCTACTAACTAACCTTGGAGCACTCACCAGTTTGCAGATATCCTTCAAGAAATGCTGGATCCAGACCCAGACACAAACCCCAGGGTGCACAGCTGGGGCTACGACCTCCAGAGGCTACATAAACGGAGTCTGGGTTGGTTCTGCAGTGTGTGTTTAGCAGGGTGTCACATCCTCCAGTTCCTGCTGTTGTCAACTATGACCCCCATGATTCCTTCATGCAAAGTTCTGTCAAACCATGTCTCCTCCACTCCATACCTGAGCCATTACTGGGCGTGTTTCCACCTTCCAGATTGGCAAGGATAAGAAATCTTACGATATGCAGCATCGGTGTGGTTCAGAAGACTGGGACTCCCACGCAGTGTTGGTGGGAGTGAAAATCAGTAGCCACCTTTCTGCAAAGTGGCTGGGCAACAGGGATCAGAATTTTAAATACGTATGTCCTTTGCCCCAGTGATTCTTCTTCTAAACGTTTGTCTTAATAACTAGTAATTAGACAAATGTGCAAAAGTCCAGATACAAGGATTGATGTAACATCATAATTCACCACTAGACAAGCTTCACAAACACTAATGACAACACTGGTCCTAATATTTTAAACTGTCCACTCTGCTTTCCCTCTTGCCCTCCTGTCATCTGTTCTCTACACAGCAGCCAGAGTGAGCTTCTAAAACAAAGGTCCAATCCACTTCTCCCTGCTTAAATTCCTCTGACGCTCCTGCTGTTCTTAGAATCTGGCCCCCACCTAATTCCTGGACCTCATTAGTGAGCACTCTTCATCCCAAGGCCCTTTCAGACAGAGTAGCCCTCTCTGGGTCCCTCAAATGGATCCAGCCAGTTCTGGACTCTGAGACTCAGGCACTTGCTGCTCCTTCGCCTGGGAGGCAGCTCCCCAGACCTTCCCGGGCCAGGTTCCTGCTGTCCAGGTTTCAGGTCACACATCCCGCCTTCGAGGCCTGCCCAGAGCCCCACACCCCCCACGCAGGTGCTCTCAGGCCCCACCCAGTTCTGCTCCCTCCACGGCACATGGCAGGAAACGAACATATCCTGTGCTTACCCTCACCCTCAATCGAAACTAAGTTCCGTTACGGAAGAACTCAGCTTCTCCCTTCTCTGCATTAGTCCCAGGGCACATAGTAGCTAGTCAGTAAGTATCGGCCAAACAGCTGGATGGAAGAAGAAACAAATAAATATTTGCTGAACCCTTAAACAGGCAAAGTAAGGAAGTAAGGAAGGAGATATATGTAGAAAATGTTTGTTTCACTCAGTATCACTGTAACACGTCCTCAGGTTCCAGGACACCTTAGAATTTACCTCACTAGGCTTTAGTGTAAACAAACTCAATACGAGATTGTATAGGAAACAGTGACCCACTGAAGGGACTTTAATGAAAAACACCCTAACAATGAATGCTGAAGACACGTTAATTTATTTTTGTATTGGAATTATCTGCACTCATTGATTCAAAATGGTACCTATACTCACAGTAGA